CTGAACTGAAGATTACTGTATTTATGTGACCTATTTATGCAAACTGTAAGGTTTTTAAAGTGGTTTTAAATTGCACTAAATGGAGTATTTTGGTGTTTTATGTGTCAGTTTTAAGATCTGAATTGCTGTTATACTGACTTTTACCAGCACTTTCCCCAAAACCATTTACTTTGACCTGAACGTTGAAATTGCACTTCAAGCTTTGTGTTAGATGTTTCTGTGTGAACTGCTTCAATGCAATAAAAAACAATGTTGTACCAACAGTTTTCTTGAAATGATAGTGTTACTGTAATTTTCCTTCATCTTTGAGATATTAACCAGTTTTCCCCATCCGAACATTTCCAGTTTCCTCAAACTCTCCTTACAAACAAATAATTTGCATAACATCACACATTGATTCTTGTCCATAAATTGCTAAATTTCCTTCATATGTAAATAATCAGTGATCAATAGTATGCACATGATCAGTGACGTCAGTTCATTTCTGACACAGGATCCGTGTCCATCTAGTGTATTTATAAAGCACATGCTACCATATGTATATCGGTATTGAATGGAATATATCTGATGTCAGTTCATTTCTGAAACAGGCTCACTGTGTCCCTCTAGTGGATGCATCTAGTGGAAAACACGTAATTAAAGTTATAAATAAACCATTGTGTGTGCATATCTTACATGAAGCATGTAACTAAATATAAATGCATTTATTTTTCATTGCATACATGTAGTAAGCACCATGTTAATCTGTTGCATCACCGTTTGAGATCGTGCCCAGTTTCGTTTCTGTTGAAGTCCTGCCTCTCACAAAACTACAGTCCAACATCATTACAAACACATCACAAACTCCCAGCGAGCCGAACTGAGAACCCAAACTACACGACATGTCCAACCAAGGTACTGCAACTATGCCTATTACGTGTATTTAATCATTAAAGTATCATTCATTTAGTTTTTTAGACGATTATATTTATTTAAACAGATGCAGTCAAAATTCAACATCTGTTTTTTTGTTTTGGAAAAAGTGTTGATGTATTGGTTATGTTTATTTTAAGCTATGCATCTTACAAAGTAAACTAAATAAATGTCTCCAATAAGCTGTCCGTTAGTCTGAGCACAACAGATCATCTAGAACACTTTTGAGGCTCGGTCTGGGTCTCAGTAGTCTTGTCTTATGCATAAATAAGGTATACAGTGGTAGTTTTCTCAAGCATATAGTCACTGAATGGTAAATGGGTTGACCAGAGTAACCTAAAATCTACATAATTGTAGAATATAACTGATGATTATCAATGTGATTTTTCTCAACAACAAACGCTTTTTTCCTCAGGAGCAAGTCACCACAAGCAGTGGTCCAACAGAAGCTCAAACGAGGGAAACAGAGCCACACAAAATGTTTGTTCTCCCTCTCAAACTCAGATTCCTCCCAGCACGATTACACAAGGTTCACCTGGCAGCGATCCGCTCGCAGTAAATCCAGCTCTGAATGAGCTGCGTCTGGTTCTGCTGGGAAGAACCGGTGCGGGGAAAAGTGCAACGGGAAACCATCCTGGGAAACAGATGCTTTAATGCTGAAGTGAGCATGAGTTCAGTCACTAAAGAGTGCAAGAGTGTGTGTGGAACGGTGGAAGGACGAAAGCTCGTTCTTGTGGACACACCTGGGTTTTTTGACACCGATCTGACAACTGAAGAACTGCAACAGGAGGTCATTCATTGCCTGGCCTTGTGTTCTCCTGGTCCTCATGCGTTTCTGTTAGTTATACCGATAGAGCGATATACAGAGGAGCAGCAGCGCACCGTAGAAATGATTCTGGAGATGTTTAATAAAGACATCAGCAATCACAGCATCCTGATATTCTCACACGCCGACAAACTCAGAGAAGAATCCATTGAAAGGTTCGTTTCGAGACAGAATCAAAAAGTTCAAGACCTCGTGGAGAGATTTGGGAGGCGTTTCATTGCCTTTGACAACACAAACCCTACAAACCCAGAACAAGTGAGTCGACTCCTGCAGAAAGTGGACGAGCTTCTGGTCATGAATGAGAACCGTCACTTCACTAATGAAGTCACAGAGGCAATGCAAACAGCCCAGAAGATAATAGAAGAGAGAATGCAAGCAGAAACGGCTGAAAGAACGAGGAAAATAAAGGAGGATGTGAAGAAAATGGCTGATCTTAGGAGGGCTGAGTTCATTGCTGCCATGAATCAAGAGAGGCAAGAAACTGAACAAAAAAGGAAATTTATACAAGGCAGGATTGGTCAGATCCAGATGGAGATAAAGAAGGCACAGCAGAATTTGCAACGGTTCAGAGCATCTTTGAGGATGGAGCAGGAGAACCTGAGAACACTGGTGGAAAGAGAGATGAAGAAGGAGATTGAAAGAATGGAAAAAGAAGAGAAAGAAAAGAAGGACCTGGACATCTGGATCCAAGAAGAGGAGCAGAGGAGACTGAGTGAAGGAGCACAGAAGAATCCACTTTCTCCAGATTATAATAAAATACTGTTTATGCTGACCATGTTTATGATGGGCATTGGGGCGTCATTTGCACCCGCGCTCTTACCGTTGCTGTTCCCTGCAGCTCCAGCGGTGGAAGCCGGGTTTGCAGCAGGGTTATTAACCAACATGTTAGCTGCAGAAGGATGGGGTTTCGTTTGGGTGGCTGCTGGAGTCGCCAAAGCTGCGGTTCTGACCCGCTGCTCCATCCAGTGAAAATCAAGATATAGGCCTACCGCGAATAAATGAAGAGCGAACAACCTCGAGCTTTAAAAACAAGTCACATAATGGTCCAACAGTATATTCTAAGTGTTATATATTCATATGCATTCTCTTCCATTAGCATACACAGAAGATCTTCTCGTTAGGTTTTGCTTTTTTTAAATTCCGACTGAATTTGGGATCATATCCGTGTGTTTTATAAATGAGCCCATAGTTTATTTAGTTGTTTAGTTTTTTATTATTAATGTCCTCCTTAAGGATGCCAAAGAAGGATTGTTTAAAAAGCATCCATGAAACACACCAACCAGATTTGAGATCATTCACAACATTACAAACGTTTAATATGAAGGAAAAATCTGAAACAAAAAATCTTAGTTATCCTAGCTAACAAAAAAACAACAACATTAAAAACATTAAAGAGCATGCCCATTAATTCATGAAAACGTCTCAAAGAGTTGGCTATGTGAAAGTTAAAGGAACAATTGTATCATTTTGCAAACAAGAATGTTACGTTTAAATGTTCTCTAATCATTCTAACAGGTAGAAACATTTAAAAACCGTTACACGTGTGTCCTTTTACCTGTGGATGTTTGATTTTCTTGATTTTCTGATATTCTTTTTTCTAGATTAGATAGATTCTTTTTTCACTATTGGGTTTATGTTTTTGTTATTCATTTGTTTGATATAATTGAGTTATTTTAATTGTGTTTTAAGTTTAGCGATTGCATCCACCTATATTCATCTAAATAAAGTGAAAACATGGCGTCTCTGGACTTTATTGTGATTTGTGGCATATTAGCCTAGATCGAATAATTAATATATGCAATTAAGATCACATAATGAAATAATTAAAAAAAAAACAAAATCAGCTGTTTGGTTTCCAGCTTCTTGTTAAACTTTCCCAAATTGAATGGTTAAGTTTGTTGGTGATAAAATAATTTTGAGCTCAAAAATAAACTCAAACTCAAACTCAAAAAAAAAAGAGTTGTACTTGACAATAGTGTGTTTAAAAGCATATATCATGTGTAAGTGCATAGACAATGGACTATAAAGATTTTTTTCAAAGGCAAAAGCGTTGCTTGTGTTTATTGCAAAAAGAAAAACAGAACTGAATAAAAAAGTACATGCGAGTTTATATAAAACTAAAGCAAGTGGTTAGTTTTTTTTTTTTTCAAATAAAAAATTGTCATAATTTTTATTTGTGTGTGTGTACAGGAGAGACGCCACACACACACACTCACA